TATATATATATATATATATATATATATATATATATATATTAGGGGTGTAACCGTGAACCGTTTCGGTACGGTACATTCGGTTCGGCCATTTCGGTTATTCTTTCATTAATAAAATTTTATTAACAAGAGATTGTGCGCCGCGGAACCAGTTCCTAAGCGTGTTTCTGCACGGTGCTATTATCTTGCAGCACACGCAGCATTAGCATTTTGTTGCAGTCTCCTGTTTGGGAAAATTATGACAAGCCCTGGACCAGATTAAAGTCCTGTCCTGATGATGATAATGATCGAGAGATTCAACCACCTCATAAATTCTTACCATTCAAGAAGAGGTATTGTAATTTTATTATTATTTAATTAACTTTTTTTTTCTGATATAATCACCCACAGTCGGTGATGGTCTGGGGTGCCATGTCAGCTGCTGGTGTTGGTCCACTGTGTTTTATCAAGGGCAGGGTCAATGCAGCTAGCTATCAGGAGATTTTGGAGCACTTCATGCTTCCATCTGCTGAAAAGCTTTATGGAGATGAAGATTTCATTTTTCAGCATGACCTGGCACCTGCTCACAGTGCCAAAACCACTGGTAAATGGTTTACTGACCATGGTATTACTGTGCTCAATTGGCCTGCCAACTCTCCTGACCTGAACCCCATAGAGAACCTGTGGGATATTGTGAAGAGAAAGTTGAGAGACGCAAGACCCAACACTCTGGATGAGCTTAAGGCCGCTATCGAAGCATCCTGGGCCTCCATAACACCTCAGCAGTGCCACAGGCTGATTGCCTCCATGCCACGCCGCATTGAAGCAGTCATTCATGCAAAAGGATTCCCGACCAAGTATTGAGTGTATAACTGAACATGATTATTTGAAGGTTGGCGTTTTTTGTATTAAAAACACTTGTCTTTCATTGGTGGGATGAAATATGCTAATTTTTTGGGACAGGCATTTTGGGTTTTCATGAGCTGTATGCCATAATCATCAGTATTAAAACAATTAAAGACCTAAAAGTCAGTGCGTGCGGCTGGGGAGAGCTGTCTCGGACACTCGGACTGTAAGCACAGGATCTCCACAGGGCTGTGTGCTTTCCCCCCTGCTTTTCTACCTGTACACCAACTGCTGCACCTCCAGCCATGACTCTGTGAAACTTATTAAGTTTGCAGATGACACCACCCTCATCGGGCTCATCTCGGACGGTGATGAGTCTGCATACAGGAGGGAGGTGGACCGGCTGGTGACCTGGTGCAGCAGCAACAACCTGGAACTCAATGCCCGGAAGACTGTGGAGATGATTGTGGATTTCAGGAAAGCCACAGCCCCTCTGCCCCCCCTCACCTGTAATGATACCCCCATCACCACTGCAAACTCTTATCGGTTCCTCGGCACCACCATCACCCAGGACCTCAAGTGGGAGCCGACCATCAGCTCCCTCATCAAGAAGGCCCAGCAGAGACTGTACTTCCTGCGACAGCTGAAGAAGGCCAAGCTGCCGGCCAAGCTGATGGTGCAGTTCTACACGGCCATCATCGAGTCCATCCTCAGCTCCTCCATCACGGTGTGGTACGCCGGGGCCACTGCCAGGGACAGACTGAGACTGCAGCGCATTGTGCGCTCAGCTGAGAAGGTGATCGGCTGCAGCCTTCCATCCCTCCACGAGCAGTACGTCTCCAGGACTGTGAGGCGAGCAGGTCGGATCACAGCTGACCCTGCTCACCCTGCACACGGACTGTTCGAACCACTCCCCTCAAGCAGGAGGCTTCGGTCCACTCAGACCAGAACCTCCCGCCATAAGAACAGTTTCTTCCCCTCCGTTGTTGGACTCCTGAATACACATAATGCTACCTCACAATTTCTGCTTTGCTCACATTACATCTGTATTATAACTGAATACTCCATCTGTATTGTTTTCTAAGCTTTTTTATTGTTTTCTATTGTATGGGTGTACACATGTTTATGTTATGTTTTTAATTTTACTTTATTTGTGGGTGTACACAGGTCTTATGTCTTATGTAATGTTCTCATTTTTACTTAATTTTTTACTTTATTTTTACTTTATTTTACTTTATTACTATTCGCACCTTATGTCGAAGCAAATTCCTAGTTTGTGAACCTCGTTCATTGACATGGCAATAATAAACTGATTCTGATTCTGAAATATTTCAGTTGGTGTGCAATGAATCTGAAATATATGAAAGTTTAATTTTTATCATTACATTATGGAAAATAATGACCTTTATCACAATATGCTAATTTTTTGAGAAGGACCTGTATATGTATATGTATATATATATACATATATATATATACACATATATATATATATGTATATATATATATACATATATATATATATATATATATACATATATATATATATATATATATA